GACACCATAAAATTTTTTGGTAGAAATACGTCCTAAATATCACAGGAAAGATACTAATGGTAAATACTTACTCATTTTTCTAATCTGAAATTCTAATTTAAGTAGCATCTTGGGGTTTTTTTTTTACTTGCTAAATACGGCAACCCCAGGGGCAGAGCTGACATTCCACATTTCTAAAAAGCTCCCAGATGAGGCCCTTGTGCATGTAAAATACCATTTAAATTTATGAAAACTGAATTTTATGTAACCATGAATTCTATGGTATTTTTAAAAGACCACTAAAAAAGCTAGGCAGGCAGCTCCCCCCCTACGAAAGAAAGAAGTCAACCACTGGAATTTGGAAAGAGCTTTACAAGACAGAGTGCCTTGGGGAGCAGGGCGTGGGGACAGGGTGCAGGCCACCCACAGGAGCCTCCGTCTGCATGACCCCTTTAACTAAACTACACTTCTGCCCTGAAGTCCAGGAAGCCAAGAGCAAGTGGCCAGTCCCTCAGTGGCTCCATTAAATGGGAAGAACCTGGTCCCCACCTGCTCACATCCCATGTAGTTTTGAATCAGGTGAGAGAACAGAAACCCCTGGCACCTTAATGATTGCATTTACCAGGCACCAAGTGAGGCCGTTTGCAAACTCCACGAAGTTAATGTTGAAACCCTGACTTTACAGATGAGGAAACCGAAAAATGGGGAGGTGATTTGCTCAAGGTCTTACCGCAACATGCAAAGCAGAAATTGGAAGGAGAACCAAGTTCTCTCTGCTCTTCAACCTGGAATCTTTTAACTCTTTATCCTTTACTGCTACTGAATGGTGCAGGTGCATTTACTGGATGAATGAACGAGGCATGATGTTTTAAGAAAACAGCCTCTGAACCTTTTGATAAGACAGCTGGACTTTTGATAACCAGCTCTTCAAGAATGCTGCCACCTTTGTGATTGGCTGGTAGGAAAAAGGAGCTTTCTGTGCTGCAAGCTGGCAGAATATACTATTTTTGACCCAGGAACCCTATTTTCTAACGATGAAAGGAGAACCCAAAAAATTATGCAAAAGGATGTTCATTGCGTTAGTATTTACAAACAGCCTGTCTAATAATAGAGGACTGTTAAATAAATGTGGCATATACACACCAAAGATGGAATAATAGAGTGACGGAAAGTCAGGTTAGCATACATTGCTTTTGTAATTTTAGAAAGTAGGACTGGGGTATAGTTTAGTGGTAGAGCACTTGCCTAGCATGTGCAAAATCCTAGGTTCTAACCACAGCACTGCAACAATAGAAAAGTAAAACTTTTTTTTTTAACAAATAAAAATGCATCATTTCACCTCTTGAGTCCCCTGATCTATTGGAGAGAAGGTTTAAAATAGAATAAGCATGCATTTATCTACTTGGGTATACTTTAAAAACTACATTTCAAAAGAGTTCTTAATTGTAAAATCATCACGCTGTAATGTTAGGACCGAAAGTCCAAGTAGAAAATTATAAATGCAGTATGACCATAATTGCGGGAATATGATCCCACTGAAATGCACTGAAAATACCAGAAAGAAAATGTACCTTGTTATTACTAGTCACTATCTGGCAGAATTACAGGCAGTTATTTTTTCTATTTTATTTTACTTTCCAAGTTTCCCATCATGAGGAAGGGGAAAGATCTCTAGAAGGAGAAAAAAATATCCCATGTGCCGCCCGCACCACTTAACCACCCCCCCACATTTAACTAGTATTTATGGAGTGCCCACCATGAGCCCAACCCAGCCACGGCCCCTATAGCAGGGACATCAAGGTCTGAGGCCCCACCCTGAAGGCTCACAGACACGGAATATACACCCTCTGCTAGGCAAATAGGCCTGGCCCCGATGGTCTATTTGTTGAGGCTGGAAAGTATCAAGGCTATTTGCTTAACCAGCTCAGCAGAATAAATGAATCCACTCCCATTAGCACGGCCCCCCTGGCTCGAAATCCCTGCAGGACTTCCCTGGTTCAAATCTTTTGTGGACCCACTTGGAGCAATGGGTTTCAAGGGTACTTCCAAGCTCAGGGAGCAACAAAACTGTTTTCATTCCTTAATCGCAGAGGTGTCCAGTGACGCAGAACAACCAAGGGGCCTGGGAAGGACCCTGATAGCCCAGGTGGCTACCAGGGACCATTGGGCAAGGTTGCTTACAGTGTCAGGCCTCAGTTTCCTTATCTATAAAATGGGCTACATAGTGACAACCTTAGGTCTACTCTGAGGCTCAAAAATAAAGTCAATTCGCTTCTCTAGGTAGAGCCTCAGTTTCTGCATCTGTAAAATGCAATTAGTACCTTTTTCCTTCATACGTTTGTTAAAAGATTAAACAAAACCGTGAAAATAAACAGTGAACACTTACAATTAATGTCCCTCATGTAGTGGCCATTGTTATTATTATTGCTTGTAGAACAGGAAATAGGATATATAACGAATCCTAGGCCTCCACTTCTTGTCTGCAAAATGGGGCCATCAATTTAGCCCCAAAGATCAAACTGAAGAACAGCAGTTGAACTGATTGACGTGCAGACTGCTGGGGCACCCTTTGTGCTTTCAGAGAGACAGGTGCCATGCTTGTGTCCTGAGAAAGTCCTCCAACTTGGAGGCCACCAGACCTGGGCCAGCCTGACCCTTCGCTGTCCACCCACGGTGTGGAATGGATGCTGGGACCAGGAGGAAGACACGATTGGCCCGAGTCACCCAGCACTTGGCCCGAGTCACCCACCCATGTCCAGGCTTTCCACTGCCCTGCCTTGCCTACCACACCCACTGCTTTTCTCTGTCCCACCCTCCCATTGCTGGCGCGTTCCCAAGCAGGGCCCGGGCAAGCAGGAGTCCTGCAGGGGGGTGGGGGGAGGGGAAGCCAGCGGGCAGCAGGAACTGGGCCTGCCTGTGGTCTGCAACTTCGAAAACCACATCAGGCTGAAATATGACACACGCTCATTCAGTTGAAAGGGAGGAGATATTTTTACCCAGCATCTCAGAGCTGCCTAAACGTGGGCCTCTTTCTTACCCTCCTCCCCCAAGTGCGTGACTCCTGGGACCTGCTCTTCCAGGCTTCAGTCTGCATGTGTCAGGGAATAACCAGGGAGGAGAGGGGGACCCACTTTTCCTGGCTTTTCCAGACGGGTTTCCATTTGAGCCCATGCTCCAAGTAGGGGAGCAAAGGTAGCAGCAGGGCCAGTCCTGGCTGGGTTCCCATCTCACCAAGTGACTTTGTCTGCCAAATGCTGTGTCCAGGAGCCTGATATTCCTGAAATGGACAAGAGACTGCCTGGGCTGTGTTGGTGGTAAAGAGAAACAGCAGTTTATAGTAACCCTAGGAGGCCCCACCAGGTCTCTCTGCTGCAGTGCTGAGCTCCCCAAGCTCTGTACAGGGACCCCCCACTTCTACCAGCCATGCAAATACGCTCCAGCCAGCTCTTACAGTGCAGCCTGCAGGAAACCTGTGACAGACTGACTCTTTAGTGCAATAATTAAAAGTTACAGCTCTGAAGTCAGGCCTCTGGAATCCTGACTCCATCACGTCTAGCCACACACTGAGGGCCTGTTGTGCAGCGTAAGCCTCAGCTTCCTCATCTGTAAAAGGGGATAACAGTATGTGCCTCAGAGGAACGACTGCAAGGAGTAAATGAGGTAATTAATGTTCCAGTGTTTAGTACTGGTATATTGAAAGGTAGCTGCTACTGCTGTTTCTGCTTCTTCTCCTCCTTCTCTGTCTTTTTTCCTCTTCCTCTTTTTCTTTTCTTCTTCTTCTTCTGCTTCTTGTTATTATTATTATTATTATCATGCAGATAAAAATGCTTCCATTTTACAGATGAGGAAATTGAGGCTAAGAGGTAAGACTTACACAAGATCACCCAGAGCTAAGAGTGTGGCTCCACTCCTAAGCCGGAGCTTCCAACTTCTCCCACAGTGGTCTCTGGTAAACAATTATGCATACTCTGACAGCAGACACAGCTGCAAAAGGTTCTGCAAGAAAACCAGAGGCCAGTGTGACAAACAATGGCCACTTCTGGGGAACGAGGAGTGTTTGAGGGACAAAAGGCACTGCCCTATTTTTCTCTAGTTTTGAATCTTTAACCACTTTTCATTTTAAAACTAATTTTTAAAAATAGCTATACTAAAAATAAGGCAGCAGCTTAATCCAGTAGCTATAATAAACCAGTCTGCTTTGAGATGGAATTTATGGCGGGTTCTGCCTGAGATCTTTGGTGGGTCTCCTGGAATCTGACACCCTGACCCATTTTGGCAGGTGCTGTCCACCCATGGTGTGGAATGGATGCTGGGACCAGCAGGAAGACATGATTGGCCCGAGTCACCCAGCACTTTGTCAGTGGCAAGGCCAGGATCCATGTCCAGGCTTCCCACTGCCCTGCCTTGCCTACCATACCCGCTGCTACACCAACCACCAAATTCACAGAATTGTTATTCCTGCTCTTGCCAAAAATCTCTCAGCCCCTCACTACTTCTAATTAAAGCCCAGGCCCTTAGTTCACAATCCAGTTCCAACTCCTCCATCCCACTTCTTCCACCCTCCACCCGAACCACGTGCATTGCTTGGAAGACTCAGTGCCTTTGCACAAGCTGTCGCTGCTCTCCCATTACCTCTTCCTCTAGGCCCTTTTCTCTGGTAAAGGATGACTCATTTCTGGGGACCGGTGCTCCCAGACAGAATTAGTCACCCCTCTTACAGGCGGCAGGACCTCTCAGCGTGGCACCGTTGTGTCACCCGCTACACATGGGCAGCACCTTGAGCATACAGGGCTTCTGGGCCCCTCACAGGGCAAGCACAGAGCACCGCCCCAGAAGACTGCTGCATCCAGGAAGAAGAGAGGGAAGGAAATGCCATGACAAGCAAACCCTCTGCTTCCCTGGACTCACATGAGTCCATAGCAAGACTATGGAAAATTCTGCTGCAAAGCTCCCTTCCCTGGCTCACAGGGAAACCTCTGATCCTGCTGCAGAACTCACCCAAGTGCCAAACCAAGCTTCTCGGCACTTATAAATAGGGAGGCCCCAGAAAGGAAGTGGAATTTCAAAGAAGCTGGATGGGCCTACCTCTATCCCACCTTTCCTCCTCTGTTCCAAGCCTCTTTCCCTTAACATCCGGCCGAGAAGCACCAACCAGCATCCCCAGGTGCGTGGGGGCGAGGGGGCGGGGGAGTGAATCCCAAGCATCTAAGCAAGAGTCTGAAAGCCTAGCCGTGAGGAGCCACCGGAACGCACGCAGGACCTGGGCCCCAGCCCCGCCTCTGCCCCGCGGTGTGAGTAACAGCCCGTCACACCCTCCAGGCTCTTGAGTTTTCTCCTTGTGGAATGGGGACAGGGTAAGGCTCCAGGGAGCTACGGTCAGGATAAAGTGCACGGCAGCAAGATGTCCTAGTGGCCTGGTCAGAAATGTGGTCCTGGGAGAACAGGACGTGCAGGATTGAGTCCCTCAAAAGACCCGCAGGCCAAACAAAAGCGACTGGCCCCTCCCGCAGGCCCCGCCTCCCACCTAGAAGCCCTCCCCCCCCCGCCCCCCGCAGCAGGGCAGCAGGCATGAATCCTAAAGATCTCTGCTCTGGGGGGCGGGGTAAGGGGCTGCACGTCTGAGCGGAGGAAGAGCTACAAAGAAAGGCATGACTCCCTACCTGCCCCCTGGCCCCAGACTTCCCGGGATTGGGGCACTGGGGGGGCGGGGGCTGTAATAAGGTTGGGGGAGGTGGACCCGAGAAGAGACCGGACCCCAGAGAGAAGGGATTTCCAATCACTGTCTCCCACTCTAGAAGAAGTTTCCATGCGAGTCACAAACACGCACTCCAGAGCCGGGAGGGGGCCACACCCACAGGTAACAGACGCACGCAGATTTCAAAGCAGGGCCAGAACTTTTTAACAGTCCGGAGCCCAGAAAGAGGAAGGAGGAGGAGGGCGGGAGTGGGGCAGGCAAAGGTGCTGCCCAGGAACGAGGGACCCGCTGCACGAAGTCCCCAGCGGAGCCACCTCCCAGACCTGCGGCCGGGTCAGGTACCCCAAGGCCAAGGGCGACCCCGGGCTCGGTTCCCCACCCGCGGGGTCGGACGTGTCGCCGCACAAAGGGCCTGTGGGTGGAGGCCTGGGCCCGCTGCTCTCCTGCCCCACCCCGAACCACACTCCCCGGTCTCCAGCAGGACCCGCAAAGCGAGCGAGGACGCCCTGCTCCAGCGATGCCCCCGCGGCCGGGCCGAGCTCCAGGCGCGCGCGCTCCGACCCGGAGGGGAGGGAGAGAAGGCTCTCGGAGCAGCCCCAGAGCCCCCGCGGCCGGGCCTGGCTGCCCGCCTCCCCTACCTGCTGCAGCGGGGCTGGCGACGGCGGCTGCTGGGTCCAGCTGCGCTCAGCTGGTTCCGGGCCACGGGGCGGGGGCCGAGGGGCGGGGCGCAGGCGGGAGCCGCTCTCGGGGTGGGGCGGGGCCGGGCGGGAGAGGGAGGAGCACCAACCCCTCCCGCAGGCAACCGGGAGCACGGAGACTGGATCCCGGTTAGAGTTCTTCCAGTACGCAGTGTGATGCGTTACCAACCCCTGGCATCCAGCGCCCAGCTTTCCCCAGCAGGAAACTGAGGCCCGGAGCAAGGAGGGGAGATTTGAAGGGTCCCGGGGGAGGGAAGGGGAGTGGAGCAGACCCAGGGGAGCCCCGGAGCCAGGCTGGTGCCATAGAGCTCAGCAGGGTGGGCCTCTTGCAATGCTTAGCTAGAAGCTAAGGAAGCAAGATTCGGCCCAGGAGGAGGACCTTAGCAGGCCAAGCCCTCAGAGGTGAAATGGGCTCCCCGCAAAAGTAAGGGAGATGCGCGGCAGAGGGGAGTAAAAGAGAATCATTCCCAGTGGCATCCGGGATGAAGAACCAGATGCCCAGGTTACCCCCTGGCCAGCAATGGCTCTGGAGTTGGAGGGCTCAGCTGGAACTCTTGACCTTTGCCAGTCCCGTCACTCTGGGCAACCGACTTAACATAGTCAAGTCTGCTTCCTCGGATGGAGAATAGGCAGGATTAACTGCCTCTTCCTGGGGCAGCGGAGACAGCTCTGTGGGAGAAAGACTCAGCACAACGCCAAGCGCCCTGGATTCCCCGTAACCGGACGTCCTCGGCGTGGTGGCACAGAGTGACAAAGGCCGCCATGATCAGAAAGATGAGTGCAAGGAATGTAAGCTTTTATTATCCCAACAGCAGCACTGTGCATTCAAGAAATTGCCTTTTATAATGGAGCAGGGTGCAGGACAGTCTCCCAACAGTCCCGGTACAAACATGTGTTCCCTGGCCCCAATCTGGAGAACTTGTGTACTCTGCGGGGGCCTGGAGCGGAAACCGAGGTGTCCAATCCCAGCCTAGGTGGTGGCGGCAGCCCCGCGTTCAGCCGGAGTAAAGCTGTTTCCAACACAAAGTAAACTGTACCAAAGTCAATAATTGCTGGGTGCCAGGGATGGGAGCAGGAAAGGCTGGTGTTGTTTAAACAGCAGAGAAAGCAAGAGCCCAGAACTGGCTGCCTGGTTTTTTCACTGAGAAGCAGCCAGGGGAGCTGCAGGATCTGGGGCATCCCAGCTGGCCCCTCCTCCGCCCACCTCTTTTTCCCGCCGCAGTGGTCTCAGGAACCATTTCTCCAGTGTCTCACGCCCTGCTCTGGGCTTCCCTGTGTTACCAAGTTTATTCTCACTTCCCTTCGCTGCCTCCCACGGTAGGCATTACTGTGTACATTTTTCAGATGAGCAGGCCAAGCCCAGAAATATTTAAGTAGTTCTCTGGATACACACAAGCGATCCGGCCCTGCCTGGTGCTCCATGCAGGCAGGAGTCCTGGGCCCTTGCCCCTTTGTTCTGTATCCTGTGTCACCCTCTGCCATCCTTCCTATCTTGGAAGACTGCCTTGGTTCCACTTTTTCTAAGAAGTGAGGCAGAGTGCCCACACCAGGACAGGCTCACGCCCACTCTCTGCCACTGGGACTTCTCTAGAAGCTGCCTGTGGGGCTGGTGGAGAGAAAGGCATAACCACAGGCTGTTTGAAATCGAGCTCTTTGATTACAAGCCCCAGATCCCTGTGCCTTGGAATTATCTAAGCTATCATTTCCAACTCCAGCAGCTGCTCTCAGACAAGGGAGGGGAACCTCTGAATCTGTGTTTCCACAGAGCTGGAGAATGTCATATCGGGATGGAGGAAGCACTGGAGAACACCTGGCCCCTCTCCTCATGGTAGAGGTGGGGAAACCAAGGCCAAGAGAACAGAGAGGCTTGTGCCCGTAACACCGTCTCTCTATTTGTTGGCTGGAGAGGTACCTAGGCACAGGCTGTCACCAGAAATGATCATAATGATGATGATGATGATAACTAATTCTTGTGTGGGAGATCCAAGCAAGTTCCTATGCATTAACATGTGTGTTTCACAGCTAGTCAGGCTATATCCCAGCCTGCTCTTTCAGGGTCAGGGCTGCCATCCATAGGTGTGTAGAAGTCCCCTTTGCCTTTGTGTCCTGTCCTTATTCCTGGAACATTCCTTGTCGTTCTTCTAGACTCCTTGGCCCTGAGCATCAGTCAGGCCTATTTGTCCTGGATCCCCACCTCAGGGTGAATATCTTATTGATACAAATCTCCTCTGATGGAACAACATTGACCTATCATTCTTTTGCCAGAAAACTACTTCTGTCACCAAGCGAGGATGGGAGAAAGGAAAGCCATGCATGGGCCATGGAATAGACAACCGAGGGTGCACACTACCCTCTATCCCCCCAAAACTGAGTTGACAGAATTAGGAGTGGACACCTGCGCCAACACGGGTTATCAGAATTTGGAATGGGAGCTTGGCTGTGATAACTCTGGTTACCTAAGTGGGCTTGTGAGGACGGGTGACCTCTGAAAGCCATGGATGCCGTGCTGAGGCAGCCATCTTCCATCATGTCCGTGAGAAAGCCAGTGAGAACCTTGTTAAATGACTAGATGAGTGTGGAGACTCTCACAGAGGAGAAGGCTGGACTGGCCAGGGAAGATGTGTGGGTCAGTTGGGCTCTTATGCTTACATATCTTTCCTGGAGCTAGCTTCGGAAAAGAAGTTATCACGATACATATTGGCTGAGCGTGGAATCCCTTACAGAGGGCTCTAAGAAGCAGAGCACAGAACAGAAGTTTTGGCAAGGAATGACACACTCCTGAGTGCTCTTAGGAGGTCCTGGAATATTGCATGGATCACTAGGACAGGGATGCAGCTGGGTGTCAGAGTCAGACCACAAGTAGCACCAAAGGCATCCCGGGAAGTCCTCTCGCCCCGTCTTTCATCTCTGCCCGGCTCTATTCCTCAGCTTCGTACCACACAAGCTTTTTTTACTGTCCCCAGACAGCATTTACCAGCAGTGAGCTGGAGTTTTTGTTTGTGGTCTGCATCTAACTTGGTCAGATGTCTGCCCTTTATTCAGAGCCACACTGCCCACACCTAACTGTGCCCGAGGTGACCTGTGGGTGGAGGGTGCAGTTCTCTGAGAAAAGACGGGGAGCTGGAGGAGAAAAAGCTCATCAGGCAGAAGGCCTTGCAAGGGTGAAGGAAAATAGAGGTGAGGAAGGGGGCAGAGTCTTCTGCCCAGGCACAGAATAAGCTCAGGTGCAGAGACTGGGGGAAGACAGGCCTGGACTCTGCTTAACGAGTGTGCTTTGTCTCAGAATGTTTACAAGCAGCTGTTAAACGCAGTCTTCAGTAACGATTTATAGAACCTTGTAATTACATACATTATAAGGTAATAAACTCTCAAAACTTATTATTTTCTAATTATTTGACTATACTCCGTTACTCTCTATGCGCTTAAAGTTATTGCAGTTATTTATGTATATGATAAAAATACTATGCGATTGTGTGCTATTGCACATTTCTTCTCAGCTCTGCATTCAATGACCTTATGCTAGTAGCCTGAAATCAGCCGAAGTGGGAATATTTACACCACAGAAATCACAAAACCTCTAACTGAGGGCTTCTGATGCCCCTACCCCATTTCCTAGCACACCACTGCTTACTACCCTGCGTTTCCCCACTTGTTCAGATTGTCTGTTTATGAGTCTGTTGTTGATTGGACTAGGGGTCAGTGGAAGGAGAAAGTGTTTGCTTGCTTCTCCAATGGGACTCCAGTGGCAAATATTCCCTGGCACAGAAAAGATGTTTAGCAACTTTTTAATTGGTTTAATTGGTGAATGAGGTGAGTTTGGTCAGACAGAATGTTCTGAATACATTAGGAGGACCAAGAGAGAGTTGCAAGAACTGCCAGTCCAAATGTTTTCCAATTTCTCTGGGCAGGAATGTGTTTGCCCTATTATTTTATTTTACTTTTTATTTTTTCCTTTCATGCTAGGGATTGAACCTAAGATGCTGCACATACTAAGTACACATTCTACCACCAAGTTCCACCCCTAGTCCCATTGATTTAATGAGAATTTAAAATTGTAAATTCCAAGCCAGGCACGGTGGTGCACACCTGTAATCCCAGCACTCAAGAGGGTGAGGCAGAAGGATCACTGGGCATTGAAGGCCAGCCTGGGCTATGTAGTGAACTCAAGGCCAGTTTGAACTACACAGCGAGACCCTGTCTCAAAAAACAAAAACAAACAAACAAAACTAAAGGTCCCCTACAACCACTATAAGTTCCCTATAACTCAATCAGAAAAACTGAGTAACCTCCCTACACTTCCATAGCTGGGTGATTGGTAGAATAAGATTTAAATCATGCTCTGTACCAAAGCACAGATTCTTTCTACAGCCCAGGTAAAAGGAGGCCAAGAGCAAGGTAAGGTGGTTTCTATGCATCTTGTTCAGGATCACAGATTATTTTATCTTGGCAACATTAGACCCACTCCCTGATCACTTCAGATAACAACTGATAACAACTTACTGTTATCTGTGGGTGTGCGTGCATGTGTGAGCATGTGTGAGCATGTGTGAGCGTGTGTGTGTGTGTGTGTGTGTGTGTGTGTGTGTGTGTAGATACACACAGTGCTGGGGATTGAATCCAGGACCTCACACATGCTGAGCCCTATGCTCTACCATTAGCTACATCCCAGTCCCTACTTACCATTGCTTTATACAGAGAGTATTTGGAGTTGTTTAAGAAATGTAGAAGTATTTTGGGAGGCTGGGGATTTAGCTCAGCGGCACAGCGCCTGCCTGGGAAGTGTGAGGTCATGAGTTCGATTCCCGGTACCGGAAAAAAAAAACAACAAAAAAAAGAAATGTAGAAATATTTTTTAAAAGGTTATACATTTCCAAGCTTTAGAAATCCAAAGTAATTTATAAAATCCCTTAAACACACACCAAAAAAAAAAAAAAAATCATCGTAGCAGTGTTATTTTTGCACCGGGAGGTACAAGCTCCAAGTCAGCCTCTCTGTGCCTTGGTTTCTTCATCCCATCCCATAATAGTGTCCAACCCAAGAGCTGTGGGGAAATTAAGTAAAATTATCCAGGTCAAGGCCCAAGGCATAGAAGGGCTCTGAGAACAGGTGACGGAGTCATTACCAGAGTGCCCTAGGTAACAGTACTCAGGTGTTTAAGTTGAGTGGGTTCGGGCCAGCGTGAGCAGAAAGCCAGCGCCACAGGTTGTGTT